TTTAAAAAATCGTTTGGTAGCGTATCAAGAAATTCACGATCGTTTTAGTTTTCTTTCACAATTAACAACAATTGATTCTGACGAGTTAACAAAAAAATGTAATGAATTTAAAGAATTCTATCACGAAGACATTAATGCATATGAGCTCAAATCAGAGTGTTTTCATTTAAGACAGTATTTAAAGAATATATCAAAGGAATCAGCTGATTTGAGTAACTCAGTCCGACAGATTAGAAGAAACTTTTCCAAATGTTGAAGTGGTTAAAATAATGTTTCTCTGCCTAATGGTTACCAATTGCAGCGGAGAGCGCTCATTTTCAAAGTTAAAGCGAATAAAAAATGAATTACGAACATCAGCGTCACAAGAGCGACTAACGTATTTATCAATTATGTGTATAGAAAATGATATCCTTAAAAAAATTGACTTTGAAGATATAATAGAAGAATTTGCACAACAGAAATCCCGAAAAAAATCACTGTCGTAATTGTTCCTAACTGATTCAAACCATCAATTCAAAGATGCTTGTCTAATTAACATCCCATGTTTATATCTATTATACTTACTCGTAAATGTATCTATCTAATTAATATCTCTAATTATAGGTATATTTGATTGTTGCCAATAAATCATTTTAAGTAAAAGATCACAACTAAAAACATTTTCATCATTCATTTTGTTAACTGTCCAACAGGGCCCCTAATTCTTGTGTGCCCAGGGGTCTCGGCGTGGCCTAAGACGGCCTTGGCGGCCACGCAGATCTTTGAAACGGAGCTGAATAGAGGTCCCATTCTTTTGGCTAACCACTGGTACGATTTCGAAGAAAATGTAGACCCTAATGTTTGGACTTCATGACCTACAGAACCGAAAACCTAAAATGCAACTTAGAAGAAGGGTGACCAAGATTTATAATGCGTCAATCAGACATTTCCAATAGCGTCGTTTCATATTACGTTGGTATCTATTATTATCATAATGAGGGAATAAGTATGGTGAATGAATATGCATAAAATTTAAATTTGTCTTAAATATTTTTTTCTAGATTCTTTATTGTCTGTACATTGTACTTAAAAGGTATTTTTTTATTTATTTATTATTTATTTTCTGGGTTTAAATAATAAATAAATAAAAAAATACCTTTAAAAATATATACAAAATAAGGGATTAAATTCAAACTTACAAAACGCGTCACCATTTGTCGAAATGAAATGTGACGTAAATGGTCACGCACGTCATTGGATTTATCGGGTCGATATTTATGCGTAGTGTTTGTAAGAAAAATTGTTTAAAACTGTATTCCTGTGTGATTATTGGTGAATATATTTTTGTAGTCAATCTGATGACAGAAACTGGTTTTGTCAAAGCACAAACGGATAACCTACTGAAAATAGATGCATTTATGATGTCAGCATATTTTGCATCAAATCTCGATTTTACGAGCGCAGAGATCAAAAGAGTGAAAAGAGTAATTATTATGTTACTTGGTATATTTTAGTCAATTACATAGTTTTTTAATAAATTTTTAAATAATACTTACAACAAACCATAATCATTTGTCATTAAAATTATTCCTAAACTCATAATTTACGTCTATATTATTATAATTTACCCGTAATATTATATTATAAAAGCTTTTTTGTAAATATTAGATAAATACGATATTACGATTTACATGAATAATTAAATTTCTTTCAATATTTAAGTGATTGTTTGTTTCAGATCTGAATGAGAATCTTTGCGTTTTAACTTCGGCCATTCTTTCAACTGGTGGCTTATTCCGTTTTTGACACAAAAATATGTGAGGAACACCTCCTTTCTTTAACCGTAGATTAAATTTCATTCTCCTTTTTGTTTCATTACGTTATATTCAATATAATTAACTGTTTCTTCCTTAACCTGAAATAATTTATCAATGATCAAAATTTCGTAAAACCGCAATAGGACGTAAAGCAAGCTCTTTAGAGAAATTTCTAATGAACTTTTGTAAACTTGATCTAAGACTAACCTAACCTAGGTTAGTCTTAGATCAAATCTTGTACTGATTAATAGCTAATTCACACTAAGCTGTAGGTACATAAGTATTGAAATTAATACTTCACAACAAAATACAATCGATAATGGAGAAACATTATCCCTTCTCATCATCTTTCACCATTTTTTTTTGTACTTTCGCATCGCGTGGAATACGAAAAAATACTTTATCGGGTGTACTAATAATAGTGTTTTTGCTCTTCGGTACCATACAATACTTGTAAGATGGTTTTTTAATTTCTTCCATAATTTCTATAGCAATTACAACAGAAAATAAGCTTTAGGTAACTGAAACGCTATAGTAAACAAACTTGTAAGTAATAATTGTTTCTTCTCTCGTAAAAGTGCGAAATTATTTCTTTTCTTAGTTTGTATGCTTCGTTTACATTTTGATTTTTGGCCAAAATATTCATAAAATCAAGGATTACATTATTTTTGCAAGTTTTAATAAGTTCGCGAATATAAATGTTTGTTTAGTATCCATATGCCACAAAAAAACAAGAAATCAAATGCACAAGTATTTAAAACATTTTTCTTTGAATCGACTGCATTTCCTTTTTTCAAAAATAAGATTGAAGATGATAGTATATTTTGAGCTTCATATCCCTCACCCTTTCAATTTTCAATATACGAAGGCTCCTCTGCAAGTATCGAGTCAGAAGTAAAGGCTACCTCAGCATTTTTTTTTTTTATTGGGAACTGGTACTGGATTTGACTCGCTTCGATCTTCGTTTTCGCCCTTTGTGTAATATCATCAAGACTGTTGAAATTAACTTTTGTCTCTCCTTGTAGAAAATTGTAATGAATGTTCAAAAACTCATCAATATTGAATTTGTGAATACGAGTTTCCAATAACAAATGCTTCAATGTTTTGAAGTAACTCTCTACAGACGAGGATGACGGAGACTTATTTTGTGTATCATACAAAGGACACATTACATTGCTCCACAAAGGAAGCTTGATTAGCAACCTTCTCAATGTTGATATTAGGTTAGGCAAATAATATTTGTTGAGATTTTCAGTTGGCGTCTCACATATGTCGTTTTGTTGCTCTACAATCTCATCTAACCCATCCAGTATATTATCTTCGTCAATTAAGGTATCATGATTGAAAGTTTATTTTTCGTCGTCATTTTCTAAAACCGGATTCTCCGTTTCGAACAAACTTTTTCATCGCCATTTTTCATTACCGATTCACAAGCTTTATTATTCTTGTAATCGTATCTGTAAGTACATATTTTCACCACATCCGAATTCATATTTTTGGTTTCATCAAAATTTTCAGATTTTTTTATAAATAAAATAATTTAATTAAATTGTATGACTATCTTTGATGACTATTTCATTTGAACTGTTTTGGCAACAGGTATAGTTATAGGCAATAGAATAAAATAGACAATCATTAATCTTTTTAGGGTTCCGTACCTCAAAAGGTAAAAAGGAACCCTTATAAGATCACTTTCTTGTCCGTCTGTCCGTTTGTCCGTGTGTCACCACCGATTTTTTCAAAAACGGGTGAACCTAGCAGATTGTAATTAATACCAGATACTGAGGTCTATGGTCCCTATTAGGTGTATAAAAATCAAGCTCCTGAGTCGACACGATAAAGACAAATTTCGATTTTCAAGAAAACTTGTAAGTACCAAAATTTACCTTAATTATCAACATTTTTTATTTTTCAGAATTTTCTCTTTACTTGTGCTGTAAGACCTTGCTTATAACCAAAATTGACAATTCTAGGTCAACCGGAAGTACCCTATAGGTTTTGGGTCGAAAACCTTTATGGTAGTTACCCATTGGCATAGAATCACGAAATTTGGCAAAAAGAAACGTTTTACAGCACAAATAAAGGTATAATTCCAAAAAATAATACAAACAAACAAAAGACAAATTTTGGTACTTACTTTTCGCGAAAATCTACGTAAAATCTGAGTAGGTACGGAACCCTCGGCGCACGAGTTCGACTCGTACTTGACCGGTTTTTTAGAATAAATGGTACCTGTATCTATTTATCTTAATATAATTGAAAATGTCTGATTGACGTACCATAAATCTTGGTCACCCTTCTTCTAACTTGCATTATAGTTTTACTATATTATTTTACCTCAAAGTTACGTAAACTCCAATTTAAATTTGAATGTTCAATTACAATAAAAGCGTACAAATGACTACTACACTACGCGGTTTATCTCTACAGGATGATAAGTTCTGTAAGTCGTGAAGTCCAAACCGTAGGGCTCTTTCATACTGTCTACATTTTCTTCGAAATCCTTTCAGTGGTTAGCAAAAAGAGTACGGCCTCTACTAACCCCCGTTTAAGAGAACTGCGTGGCCGCGCGGTTCTCTATGTTTCGACCGCGCGACCATGTTTAAACCCTTACAACTTTCTGAATATGGGTTCTACGAATTTGCAAAATTCGTTGAAATTCATTGTTAGTATTTTACAAATTGTTTGTAATGTTGACGTAGTCGTTTTTTTTTTCTTCGACACTATGGCCGAGCAGTCGAAACGGACACGAATAATCGCATCCCTAAACTAATGTGAAAGTGAGTTTGCTTGTTACGCTGTCACGCCTTACCCCGTAGAACGATTTAAAAAAGTCTTTCATCAATAGAAAGCTACATTGTCGGCGAGTAACATACTCGTAGGCACATACTTTTTACTGTGATAGCCGACATACACGCGGGCGGAGCTGCAACATATATTATAACAAAGCAAGTAATTGCGTATAAGGTATCCTCTTTGGAAATATCAATTTTGTGTATTCGTCATATGTAATAATAATTCAACGGTGTACAATTAAGTTTTATTATATTTAGTTCTATTAAGGATAATAATCGGGTGAAATAATTGACATTTGTTTCTTTTTCCATTAAATATATTTAAATTAAAACATATGAATTGTTGCCTTATAGTAGTAAATATTAAAAAAGATATTTTGTCAAAAGTTGAAATATCGCTCCTATATCCTTAACGACGGTAATTTGGAGGTTCATAGAGGTATGGTTGAAAACAAGTATTATAATATGTTGCTATGTAATAATGCACGTACAATCGAGGGGCCTCGCCCTGCGAGTCATAAAATCTACTATCTAGAAACTCATATTGGTTTTTTCCATTGTATGCATCAATTAGAAAATCGAGTACAGGGTGGGTATCCACCACAGTAAAGTAATGTATGATGTCCTTCGACCGTAGTGTCATAGAGAAAGCGCATATACCGGTTAATCCATCTTCTCGACCGGTTTTTTCTAAATCCATTAAGTGTAACGCCCCGCCTGAATCCATTCCTAATCTGGCCCATTCGCCTTGAATACAATGGAACCATTGCCATTCAGTCTGGAAATAAAAAAAATATGACAATATTTTGAAGGCCACACATGAGATAATTAACTATGTTTTATATTTTGTTAAGTCGCGTCAGCTGAGTTGACTGTATTCGTGTGAATATCAGAAAATAACAATTACCACTTATTTAAGGAGCATCAATTCTATAGACTTCAGAATTTTTGTACTTAATAAAATCGATTAGGTATTTTTTTCTTCTTAATTGTCTTCGGCTATAATAGGTTTGTGTCCACTAATAACAAATTGCTGTGTTTAGAATTTCAAATTATAAATGAAGAGACATAGATAAGAAAAAAACAGTACATTTCTCATAAAAGTTAAAGATTATTAATATTTTTAAAAAATAAATGCAAACAAAATTGGCATTAAGTCACGTGACGGTGAACACCAATCAGAAAGTGTTACGTCACGCCACGCAAAACATCATTGTTGTTGTTAACGTTCTCATACAACAGAACAGGTTTACTCCTTGTTGTTAACGTTTTCAGCATGTTTTCTCACCTTAATACAGTTTCAGTTGACACTGGACCCGGATGTTTAGTTCAACAGGTTTGTTTCGCAGACTGTGACGTCATTCAAGACGCCATGACACTATTCAGCGTTTTCAAGGGATGGCTCGTTGGTCGTCAAGGCTGGAGGCTCCACGTGCTGGTATTGCCGCCGTGGAGGCGCTCCAGCTGGTCATCGTTGAATGGGCAGGGCGGCAGCACGGGACCCTTTCCTCCCGACTAACGCAGGTCCTTGCCGGGCACGGCTGCTTCGGGAGGTCCTGCCTGTCACCTCTTCATTGCCTGCCGTCATCCGCTCTATGACCGGTAGTGACAGATGTCTCACCGCGGTCATATCCTTCTGCGAAGACGTCATCTCGCAGAAGGAGGGAGGACAACCTCCACTCGGATCCTCACTGCAGTCATCGGGGGAGATCTCTCACTACCGGCCGTCATGGATCCATGGCCGATAGTGATAGTTGTTTTACCGCGGTCGCATCCTTCTGCGAGATAACGTCTTCGTCTTCGCGGCGGAGAGGACCGGGGAGGATAATCTCCACTGGGACCCAATTCGCCGCCGACGAACCGGGTGGCGGAGGCGCGCTTACCAGCGCCTCATGCCGCCCTGAGTGTGGCCGCGGGTGGACGGGACGGGTTTTTACCCTCCACCCGTCATAACAGCCAGCCGCGAGGAGGTGACGTCCGCGTGTGCCGGACGTCTCCTAAATAGAGAATATATCCGAAGGTGGTGCCCGCGCCGTTGCGGGCAGGCGCTAGGGGGGGTCCGGATATCTTAATAACAGCAGGTCCCGGATCCCTCCTATTACAGGCGCAGAGTGCCACACCGTGTGGTTTTAGTCGGTCCGATTCCGACACACCACCCCGCCGTAAACCCCGGTGGGGTGACGGCCAGAGGGGGTATTGGTATTGGTTGTGGCCTTCGGTTTCCGCATTTAGACTCAGAGTGGTCCTTTATGCGTCGAGGATTGGTTGACTAGGTGAGCCAGCCAAGCTCCTTCCAGAAGCGCAGAAGCGTCCTGGGGCGTTCACAGGCTTCTAGGAGCGACTTTATATCGGGAATGATACTTGCCCGTTGTGTGGCCACTCCCTCGCATTCCAGGATTACGTGGACGGCCGTTTCTTCAGCTTCCAGACATCCCCTGCACAGGGGACTGTCCGTCGCATTGATGATGAATAGTTGTCGGTTCAGGGCTAGATGTCCTGTAATAGTTCCAACAACCATTCTGATTTCCAGTCTGCTAAGACTGATCAATCTGCAGGTGAGTCATGGTGTGACTTGATTCAGCACCAGTTTGGACTGTCTGCAGCCGGGTGAGTTTTTCCACCTCCGGTTGTGTGCTTCACAGGTCCGTTGCCTGACCCAGCATCGTATTTGGTTAAACGATATGGGCAGGAGTGTGGTTGGGCAGGAAGTCGGGGTTGCAGAGCCCCTCCTTGCCAACTCATCTGCGGATTGGACGAGTACCCCATTGAATGTAGCGAGCTGTTCCAGTGCTTGATGGCATTCGAAGACAATACCAGAGGTCATTGTGTTGCCCTCTAGTGCCTTTAAGACGGCCATGCTGTCAGATATTATTCGGATGTTGTAGTCCGTGATACCCCTTGACATGGCCGTTGTGGCAGCGTAAGTTATTGCCACACATTAACAATGAAATATGGAACTGTGTTGGCCTAACGCTAGTGATATGTTCATATTTAGGTCTTGCGAGAAAACTCCGGCTCCAGTTCCTGACCCAGTCTTGGAACCGTCCGTGTAAATTCGGACTTCGTTAATGCCGGATTGATCTCGGTCATTTCCATGTATCTGGATGTAGTATCTTCTTGTGAAGATATGGTGTTTTGGGATTCTATCGCATGGAGCTGCTATCAGTGGTTCGTATTCCACCAATTGATCCCATAATTTGGAGTGGGATCCCTCACTTTTGTGCCATAGACCCAGGTGTCTGACTCTAATGATCGCCATGGCGGCCTCCTGCTGTATGAATAAATCCAGGGGTACAGACCAAGAGCCTCCTCCAGTGCGGCAGTAGGCGTTGTGCGCATATAGCCAGTGACCGCAGAGCATGGGAGTCGCTGGAATTGCTGCAGTTTGTTTATGACGGTGCTTAGCTCTGTTCTCTGCCACCAGACAACAGCCATAAAGTAATCTTGGGTGATAGTCCCCAGCTTTTGCCGAGTAGCCGTTTGCATTGGCAGAAAATAATGCAGGCTTTATTCAGTTTTTCATCGAGGTGCTTTTTTTCACAGGAGTTTACTGTCTTACTCCTACAGTACAGTATTACTCTACTATTAGGTATTTGACCTCTTTGATAAGAGTAAGTAAGTTGTGTTCCAAATAGCTTGGGAAGTCTGAGATTTCCTAAGCTGCGTTTGTTTGTGAACATGATCATCTCTGTTTTCGATGGGTTCACTGTCAGGTAGTGTGCTACGCACCATTGTTCCACGATCTTCAGTGCAAGTCTCATTTGATCGCATGTAACGCTGTCAAAAGGACCGCTGATGAGAATAGTAAGATCGTCTGTATAGCCTATTAGTGAGGAATCTTTGGTCATTAAGTTGTGCGATGAGCTCATTCACAACAATGTTCCATAGAAGGGGGGAGAGTACACCGGCCTGGGGGCAACCTCTAGCCACCACTCCTCTAGTCACTTCGCTCACAGTGAATTGAATAGCTCTATATCTTAGCATGCTGTCGATCTACCCTGAGATTGTGGAATCAACACCATGTCTAGACAGAGCTTGGCTAATGCTGGTGAAATTGGTCTTGTCAAAGGCTGCCTCGATATCGATAAAGGTGGCCAGTGTTGACCTTTTGTGATTTAGGTTGTCTTCTATATGTGAAACAACTCGATGTAGGGCAGATTCTGTTCATTTACCCATCGAGTAGGCGTGTTGATTGTGGTGTAGAGGGTGACTGACTAACGCAGTTTCCCTGATTTCCCTATCTATTAGCCTCTCGAGAACCTTTAATAGGAAAGACGTGAGACTGATAGATCGGTGTGATTTGGGTTGTGTGTAGTCACCTTTACCAGGTTTGGGGATGAAGACTACTTTAACTTGTCTCCATTTCAAGAGGATGTACTGATGCGCCAGGCAGCCCCTATAAATTGTTACAAGATGGTCTAGTAGGGCCAGAGGGGGTTTCCACACGTAAAAAAGAATAAAAAAAGGGTTTGTTTCAAGTTTTACTTCTCTCTTTGAAGTGTTGTTGTACCGCATAATTTGCTTCTTTAGTTGGCTCTTACGACACCCATGGGATGAGTAGGGGTGGTGACACTCCATATTACCCATTTCCCCACACCATGAGTGCTTGCATGCTGCACTATATCGGGCTACACTATATGTGTGTGTGTGTATGTGTGGTGCGTATTTGTTTCTGTATAAATTTACGTGCGTTGTGTTGAGTAGTGTGCGCGTACCACTCACGATTTCTATACCACCTAAACGTTGACTGAAAGATAATGCCTTGGACATTAAGACCGCCGATGTACAAAAGTGCAAAAAGTTATAAATAAGTTTATGCTCTTTCTAATTGTAGTAATACTGATTTATAGGTGCCATCCCACACTGAAATACAATAACTTAATACTGATTGACATAAGCTTATAGATACTCCGCTAGACACTCCGCATAATCAACTGATCCGCAGAGTGACGCAGAGTACCGTGGGAGAGCCATGCTTCGGCACGAATGGGCCGGCTCGACCGGAGTGATTCCACGGCCTCACAGGAAACCGGTGTTAAGCAATTCTTTCGTTGCCTTTCACTGAGGGAGTGAGGTTACCGAACCCAAATCCCCCCTACCGAGTCCAAGGGCACAGCAACGCACTTGTGACTTTTGAGTTGCAGGTGTCCGTGGGCAGCGGTAGTTGCTTTCCATCAGGTCCCCCTTATACCATAAAAAAAAAAAAAATCAAATATATAGAGGTAGGTATAGCTCTGTGGAGGAACGGGTGTCATGTCCCTCCAACACAAAGGGAGGATCCTTCGACCAGGCGAGGTGATCATGCCTGGCGGGACGCGGCCCAACGGTTGATGTTGGGAAGTTGTATATATGCTAATCGGCGAGGGAATTCTTTATATCGCGATACAGGATTAGCAATTCTTATTTTAGTAGTTACTCCGTAGTTCGGTGTGTCTTCATTAGATGGCGCTGTAGTATGTTTCTGTTTCTTGGTATGTGGGAGTCGCCACAGCTCAAATGTAATGGCCTGTTTGATTAATTACATGGCAGTTTTTGATCGTATGCGATATTTATTAAAAAAAAACGCTCAAATGTTCTGTTCAGTCATTGCGATATCATTTTTTAAACAAAAAATGTTTTTTTTAAAAAAGCTAATGAAAATTCCGATGATTTTCGACTCAGAATGATAATCTGAATACACTATTCGTTACGACGTTTTTTACGTCCGGTATGTTTAGTGAAGTAGAAATTCTTTATTTCTAATGACTTTTAGCTGTTGTTACTCTTAGGTCTAATACTACACCTGTACATGTGAATATACGTTTGAAGAATCAAATGCTCGATAGGTAATCGGACATAAAGGTATTTGTGGAGTAAACTAATATTATCGTGACATTTAGTTTTAAAATTATACAAAAATAGTAGTTGTCAAGTCGAACTAAATTTGGTGTTCATTAAGACAGCATTAAATTTGAGTCTGACATCATTAAAACTTAAAAAGGAAGGAAGGTGTTACCGTTGTTTAAAATTAAGAATGAATAATAAAGCGTGAATTAAAAAAAAAACTTTTTAAATTATATTATTAAGATTTTAAAATTCCTGTAAATGATTATCAATGCATATAATAGATCAAAGAGTAAACAAAATGTTATATTTCTCAGTTACAGCTAAGTAAATACAGTTTTATGCAGTTCACAAATGAAATGATATTTATTTCTGTAAGTAAATCTTTTCAGATATTTTTACAAGTCGGACTTTATAGCTAGATGGAGCCGGGATTTGCTAAGATTCACTCTGGGAAGAAACGCCGAAACAAACCACATAAGTCCTTTTTTTTTGTCCGTAAACAAAGTTAAAGAAAACTGTACAGTGTCGGGTCTGGGTGGGCCTTTTGAAAAAGGACCATAGTTTTAAGTCGGCCTGTATGGACAGAAGAGAGATGGATTTCCATCGTGTAGCCTAACCGATATTAGTGAAGATCCACGACCCGAATCGCGACACTACAGCCAGCAGGACATTTGAGTAGGCCGAGTAAACACTCAAAACCACCAGAAAGTTACTAAATATGAACTAACATTACAAGCCTAAATTATACTCACATTTACATACTTACAAAAAAAAACATACCATACAATTCAAGCTCAATGAAAAAATAAACAAATTAAAAACAAACGAAATACAACAACACATTAAATGTCCATCACTTTCAAGCATAACAACAATGATAGGATGATAGTAAATGCGGGAGTGAGCAGCATCAATCCCAAGCAAATTTGTCATCTAAATAATCTTTAACCGTGTAGTAAGCCATTTCACATAGTTTTGTTTTACTAAAAACTTAAATTTGTTAATACTTAGTTCATGAAATTTGCTTGGAATTTTATTGTAGATTCGCACACCCTGACGTCGAAAAGACTTGCTTACTTTTTGTAGTCTTGGTGTAGGTTGGTAACATGAGTTTATCTTTATTTCTAGTGTTTTTGAAAGATTGAGGTACTAAGAAATATAAACGCCATATATTAGTAGTGAAGATTCGTATGAAAATATGTTTGGATTCGCTGGCGAACCTCAAATGTTAAAATAAAATGTAGTATTAATTAATATTATTTGAATTATGTCATCATAAGTATAGGTTAAATTAGTTATCTGTTACCTACCTTGGGACAGGGAAATAGGAATCTATTTGTTCTGACGCCGAATTTGAAAGAAGGAATTGGCCGACGGCCGTAGGCCTTCATAAAAAGATATCCAACAACAAAGTGTCTATCACTGTAAGTATAAGCAATCGAGTGCGTGTATTTTTTCCTGAAAGTAATAATTATAAATCAATTAAAAGTCTAAAATACGCAAAATACAATAATGAAAAGCTATTTTAAATATAAATAAAATAATAATAATAATATATTATTATATATTATTATTATATTTATATTTAAAATTCTTATTTTTTAAATAAGACGTGTGCCTTCTACAGTGTCGTCCCTAAAATTTTATTTTTGAATTGACTAAGTTGACAATTATTCTATAGTTAAATATAATTAAATATTCCTTAAGAGTATGACTTGAATGTAATTTTCACTGGCTAAGTTATGATAAACGGGATATTTACCATGTACATTATTATATTTAACATGTTTATTTTTAGGTACGGCCGCACTGAACTCTTCACCAATTGCATCGATGAACTCACGCTTGCAACAGTGCAGAAATATCAGAAACTAATTCCCAAAAATAACTAAAATAAAATATATGATAACACGTTTTTTTAATGTTCATGGCGATCAATGTCCAGATCGTTCAAACAGTCGCCATGTCGTCATTCCTTACAAGTAACGAGCGAAAAGTTCATAAATTAATTTTCTTCTTATAATTCGATAAATCTACAAAAACTTTGAAGTGTAAGGATGAACTACTTACCACGTACTTGCGGCTCTTTGGCATAACACAATGGTAGGCCAGTATGATGTACCTAAGTTATAATACGTGGTCCACACCGCTAGATCATACAGACACGGTATTGGATGGGACACATTTCCTTCATAATCGCGTCGATACTTAAATTAGGAAAATATTTAAAGACATTATTATTATTTTACATTATAATTATTTTTATGGTATTTGAAATTCACATACGATTTTTACACTTTTAATTAAATGTAATGTAACGAACGTAGTAATGGGAATACAGTGTAAAATTTATCTGAACGACAAGAAATTTTAAATTAATAATTTATACGTCCAAACCGTAATAATAACAATATATTATTTTAATTTTTTAAATTTCTGAAGAGAGAAGGAAAACTTGACAAAAACCCTAAACTAACCCGTCTGCCCAGCCTGGTATTGTACACCAAAACTTCCTTTTTCCGTCTGTCCAGCAGTGGACTATTAAAGGCTGTTATTGTGATGTGATGGGATTCTAATGTTTACTTATTATCGCTCGTGTTAATTAGAAACATGTTAAAACTTTCTGTACTTCTAAAACAATTGTTTATCTTACCGCAGGATGATAATGAATACGTGAAGGTCCAGAATGGTAGGTGCTTGCATTATATGTATCCGCGGTGTGCTCGTACCATATTCCTAAAATATGTTCCAGATTCGGTAACGGTTTGTAGTTTCTCAAGACAACGTCTGTGCTTGTGGCTGTTGTTAGAATATGTCGTTGTGTCAAAAGAGAACAGGTACCAAGTATATTGTGCACTCTATAAACTGTACAGCAGTAACATCCAAGGAGGTACGACTTTTCCTGTTGGTCATTATGATAAAAAATATGATTATTCTATGATTATCACTTTAGTTGACGAAAGTAATGTGTTCGCAATAGAGAACCGTCGCAAATATACAAACTAATAGATTTAAAATAAAATCTAAAACTATTTTTTTTTGTTACATGCGTCATTAAATATGTCTCAAGATTATAATTATCTGTTATTACTTTGTTATTTTAGGATCTCTCCTCTCTGTGTGATAACTTGACAGCTTACTGTCCATGTAAGTTATGTAATATATATAATATATAAATTATAGTCGATTCCACTACTGTATTCCACACTAGTGGAATCGACTACAATTGGCCTTCTGTGACTGCGTGCGGCTGTAAAGGCACATTCAGAACTTTGGCATTCGTCAACATGATTGTTTCGAGCAGTTTGTGGTTTAGATTCTTGTTTTGGTTTGATCATGCTTCGAGTTTCGATGCAAGGAGATGTAGTGTCTGCTCTCTCCAGTTTCTGTTCCAAAGTTTTAATGTATTTAAGATTGGAATCGTATGCTTTTAAAAGATATTCGGCTGAGAAGCATATTTCTGTTTTTTTTTTTCTTCTTTAAAAGACAATTCCCACACTAGGAATATAATCCAGTGTCGCGGGGGACTTCACAAACATACATGAAACGGACACAAAGAACGCCCAGACTCAGAACAACAATTTGTAGATCAGACAAAGTGATGTCCCATGTGGGGATCGAACCTACAAGCGTAGTAGGAAGTGACGAGGTGACCGCTTAAACCAAAACGCGATCCATGCAGTCGAGTTTTTATTATGTTTCTGTATTTCCACCATAGATGCAATTGTGTGATTTCATCTATGGTATAAGAATATTATCGTAGTAATTAATTAATACAATTTTATTTTATTATTTTATTTATCAAAAATATAAACTTTAAATTCGCCACCTTGGTGATTTTGAGCCACTAATCCGATTTATAAATTCTTTTAACAATGGAAAGCTACATTATCAGCGAGTAACATAGGCTACTTTGAAATAAACGCGGGCGGACAGATCTGCCGGCGTATAGGTAAGAGTGCTGGCGTGTAAGTCTTTGACACGTGAACGCGATGGCGGTCGGATTTTCTGATGGCGTTTAGTAGGTGACAGTCACCGTAAACTCTTATGTCGCATTTCTTCTAACGACGATGTGTACCGGTGACGACAATGAACTCTTGCTTGGCCTGCATAATCCTTGTTCTATCACATTCACGGACACTTTTGTAACGATTTCGTTACGGTTTGGCGGTATTGGGATAGCGCGGCAACGTAAAAGTCGATCTTCCGTTTCACTGCAGTGACGCACGTTGATATTTTGGCTTAACTGCATTGAAATAAGTCCTGATATATCGGGATATTGCGCTAAGTTATTGTGATAAGACTATGACATGTTAATAGTTCGAAGTAGAAACTGATCATGTTGGTGGGTTGACCTTTAAGTTTGTGACACCCTCGATTAATCTTCTGCTTTTTTAAGAGGCGATTAGTTGGTAATGTTTTAGGAATTCTGTAAAGTTCAATTTATGGTTTTGGAGAAAAAGATGGCAATGGGTAAAAACATCTACTTACATTTTTATCAAAAAATTTTTGCTGTTTAAAAAGTGGTGATAGCCGGTAAGGTCTATAATATTCTCTAAAAAAATCTTTGTTATATACTGTAAAGTAAGGTTCTTCGAGACGAAAATCTGGAGTGAAATTCCTGTGTGGTACATAAGTACCTTCGGCTACCCAGGCATCCAGCTCGGGTGTGTATAAACCCGGATAATGATACGCTTCCTGCCAATAGGGAACTCTAATGATATTCTTAAGATGATGTATTGCATCGCATGTCATGTAGAACATTGCCACCAACAATGATCTGAAACATAATAATATTTTATTTATTAGTATCCACACTTACCTACTTCTATCATTACAGTTATATTCTAATGCGATAGTGTAACTATTACAAATTTTACACTTCTAAATTTGTGTCTTGTAACATAATATATAATGCTGTCTTTGTGAACTCACTCAGTGTACTGCTAAATAAGTCAGGGTGCACAACTCACGCGTTAGAGGCGCTTCGCTTAGCAAATTTGTGCGTCCACGCGGAATCGCCAACAATGGCGGACGGCGTCGCCGCCACTCATACCCGTCCGGTACACACATGCCTACGAATCCTAATATATTGCTGGCGTGGATTTTTTCCCTTAGTATATTAAATATATAGGAGGCAAGACTACGGTCTCTTTTGACTCTTAGCTTGTTATATACATACATTAGTGGTAATATAAATACCTCACTTTGATTTGAACTCGCTCCAGCATGAGACTATATTTAATCTCATGCGGAGACCAGATGACTGCGTTGTATTCTAGTTTACTACGCCACTAAAGCATTATGTAGAGTAACTATGGCATTAATGTTGGTAAAAGATTGAAAAGTGCGCAGTACAAAGCCTAGATTCCTGTATGCTTTTTTTACAGCACTTGACTATGTCAACGAAACGTTAGCTCTGTGTTAAGACTTATACCTGGATCCTTAACTGTTAGGACCGGTTAGGGTCCGAGACCCCATCGACATTATAACAATGTAAGTTAGGATTACGTGCACGAGAAAAAGTGATGATGACACATTTATTCGGGTTAAATTGCAAACGATTTTCCTTGCTCCAAGTCAGAACATTGTCTATGTTCTGCCGCAGACGCCTACAATCAGCCTCATCGTTCACAGCGATAGACAGTTTAAGATCATCTGCAAACAGCAAACAATTTGCTTATTTTACTCGCTTTGGCAGATCGTTTATCATGAATATAAATTGCAGAGGTCCTAAATTACTGCCTTGACTCACACCAGACCAGGTAAAATATGGTTGTGAGGTGTATAGTCACATTTAGTGCATAGTCCACATAATGTTCCCGATCCATCATGTAACTGCTGAAGAACTGTAGTAAATGAGAAGTAAAACCGACGCCTGCTAGCTTCTTAAGAAGAACTAAATCGAACGCTTTCTTAAAATCAAAATAAGCAGCGTCAGCCTGAACCAAGCTGTCTACCGTGGGCAGTAGTTGACTCATATAGTTCAGGAGATTGCTGGTCGTACTCCCCTTTGGCTGGAATCCACGTTGTGAGTCCAGGAGCTGTGATCTAACCTGCATAAATACGCTCTTGTAGATAGCAGACTCTAACACCTTCGCCGACGACGTTAGAACTGCAATCGGTCAGTACTCGTCAACTTTATTCCCCATTCCACTCTTTGGCACGGGTACTAAACGAGTAGTTTTACATCTATCTGGAAAGACAGCTGTTTGAAGACATTGGTTAAATATGTGCAGCAACGGTTCGGTCAGTACTGACCTACAGTCCCTAGGTATGTAAGGCGGTATACCATCTGGCCCACAGGATCTCCTAGGCTTAAGCTGTGCAAGCACCTGCTGGACTTGACCTAGTTGCAATTATTGCAAGTGAATCCGTGCTGCTCCATTTTCAGTGCCCTCGCCCAATACCACTTTGCTAACATCTAATTCGGGGCGTTTTGCACTATACACAGAGTGAAAATATTTTGCAAACTCGGTCGCGCATTACTCATCGGTTGATATTACATATTCTTCCTTCTTCCCTCAGACCCAGTTCCTTCAGGTCCCTCTGGACATTCGTCAGCCAGGTGGTCTGAGGTCTTCCTCTTCACCTCTTTATAGTAGCCATAGAAAGCCACTTCCTCACGACATTATCCTCGGTTCTACGCATTACGTGACCGTACCATCTCAGCCTGTACTCGCTCAGTTTGTCCGTTATCTTTGCAACTTTGAAGCTCCCCCTGATGTACCTACTCATTGCGAACCTTGTCTTTGAGTGTGACTCCTCCTGCCCATCGTAGCATACGCATTTCCGTTGTGTGGTACTTTTGCTCATGCTCATGCTCAAAAGAACTATGCAGGACAAGTGCGCTATAAAGAGAATTAAAATTTGACACAAATCCTATTCTAACCCGTCTGGCCAACTAGGTATAGTAGGCCAAAACCTCCTTTCTAAGGAGAGGCCTATATCCAACAGTAGACTATTCAAGGCAGATGATGTGAACATAATATTATTATCCGTGAAAGTAAATCACCTTATTTCTGCCCCATTATTCTTGTTAAAAAACAGAATGGTGATGATAGGTTGTGCGTAGACTACCAAATTCCAAATTCAAGCACTACAAGACCCCTACCGATGCCACTGATTTCTGACCAAATCGATTAATTAATATGGCAGCTGGGTTTCATCAGATGAATATCTCGAAAGGATCTATTGAAAAGATGCCTTCGTGACCGCAGATAGTTTATACGATTAAATTCTGTCTTTAATAAATTCTCTGATTTCGATCAAGGTTTATCAGACATTGAAAGAATACTAATAGGTTTACAAACTGCCTGTTTCTCTATTAATGTACACAAAAATCATTTTTAAAACGGTTCATTTCGGTAATCATATTTCGGATGATAAGGTTAGGTCGTGATTAGGTCCAAACCCTCGCAAGGTAAAGACACTACTTAAATCTTCTGTACAAAATAGAGTCAGACAAGTATGACATCACCAGAACTAGATAAATTCTACTCGGCCGAGTGCACCATATAGCTAGGTGAACATTATCTAATTATTTTACGGTGATTAAACAAACATACTCGTACAGTTATGTATTTTTATAATGTATTTTTCAGAGCCTCTGTGTCCACGGTCAAGACCCAAAGCAGAGCATCGACCTTCCTCTAAATTCATGAAATTCAAGCAAGAGTGTCCTCTCGACCCATTTTAATACTCTAATATACATGTGACCTACCAAAGAGCCACGTGTTCACAGTTGCGACTGTTGCAGATGATACAGCCTTACTCGCCTCGCGCACATCCCCAGCTCTAGTATCCGATTGCCTACAAAGCGGTCTTCGCAAGATAGAGTGAACTGACGAGTGATGGAAGAGAATGGAAAAAGAACTCATTGCGCCGACCCTAAATAAATTTGAGAATAGGGTAAGATGATGAAAATGTTAAATATAAAAATATACGGACCAAATACGAACCTATTTATAACGTGGCCCTTCATGATTCAAATAGCTTCTTTTAAATTATTGACTACACAAAACCATGCTTAGAGACGTGCTCACAAAAAGTATAAAGAAACTGTTGACTTTGTTTACCATGCGTTTCTTTTTATCTGAAGCTTGTTAGAATTAGTGTTGCCATAATCGCAAATGAACAGAAAAGTTGGGGGTAAACTCGCTTATCCAGTAAAATGGTATTGGATAAATATTTTATGGTATAAGTCATCACTTATGCAATTTACTTCAGTTCTTCACCATCGAAGACATGAATTGAATTGCAGAAGTGGTTGTTTCTACCGAGCTTAATGTATGGTAAAAAATGACTAGCGTTATTTGCATATAAATTCCTATTCTAACCGACTTGAAAAAAAAAGAAGGTTGCCAATTCGAGTGTTTTTTTTTGGTGTGTTACCTCGAACTCTTCATTTATGAAGTAATTTAAAAAAAATTGAAAGGATTTTTTTTCTGATTGGTCTAATTTAATTTTGAAAAATAAGAAATGTAGAATACGATTTTTTTTAATTCAACCCTATGTAGGCGCATTGAAGTCGGCGATACCTTTAAAAAGGTTAGTAGTGTGATAAAATAAAATAAATATTTAAAATTCATTATTTTTCGAAATGAGAATGGGAATGACAACAAAAATCAAACGAAAATACCTACTCAATAAAAATAACGTTATTTGCTCTAAAGTCCTAACCAATTAACTAAAATCGGTCTTGTCCATTCTAAGCGACATTTCTTCCGAATCAGCAATATCTAGTTTTAGGTGTCATTCAATTACATTTTTTCATATATTCGATTTTTTCTTATATTTCTGACGAAATTGCGTGCTGTAGCTCTAGTAACACAGCATCTTTAATAGTATTTGTTTATTCCGGTCGTTACGAAATCTTCTTTTGTGATTGGCGTTTGTTTAAGTTCGAAAATATGTGGATTAAACTGACCTACCATGGGATGGAGGCCCGAAGTATAGTTAAATTTTTTACTTTTGTGTAAGAGTTTAGGAGTACAAAATTACAAATAGTGAAACATGTTTATTTTACAACATCATCATCAGCCTGTCGCAGTCCACCACTGCTGGCTGGCTAGGCCTCTCCTTTTGCACGCCACTTACATCGAGTTTGGGCTTCTCGCATCCAGCTCCTGTCAGCCATCTTGCGCAAATCGTCACTCCACCTGGCCTGTGGGGACATACACTACGTTTGCCGAGACGCGGTCTCCACTCAAGAACTCCCCAAGTTTTCCCCAATGGTTGTCGGTTCTGCGGCTAATATGGTCAGCCCACTGCCACTCGCATCGGCATCGAGTCCTCGATGAGGTATCTGGGGCTCGTACTTGATAGCCGATGGGACTTCGGACACCATTTCCGAGGTCTGGTCCCCAAGTTGGTTGGAGCAGTGCGTGCATTGGCGCGGCTGCTGCCCAACATGAGGGGACCCGATGACTCCTGCAGGAGACTCTACTTGGGGGTTGTGCGGTCCAAGTCCCTTTATGGGGCCCCAGTATGGGCGGAGACCCTGAAGGCCAGCAACGTCGCACTACTGCGACGACCGCAGCGAGTGCTAGCCATCAGGGTCATAAGGGGGTACCGCACGATCTCCTTTGAGGCGGCGAGTCTCCTGGTCGGAACTCCACCGTGGGAACTGGAGGCGAGGGCCCTTGCGGTTCTGTATCAGTTGGGTCGGTGTCCTGAGTCTCGAGAAATCGAGGATCAGAAATCCCATCTCCGCCAGGTCCTAGTGGAGGAGTGGAAGGAACGACTTGGGCAATCGACCGCTGGGCACGCCGTTATCGCGGCGGTAAGACCCGTTATGGAGGATTGGCTCGAAAGGCATCACGGAACCCTCTCATACCGGTTGACGCAGGTGATCACCGGGAATGGATGCTTCGAAGATCACCTGTGTCTGATCCGCAAGGAGCCAACGCCTGAGTGCAGCCACTGCGATGGTCGAACCGCGGACACAGCGCTCCATACGCTGGCAGAATGCCCGGCGCGGGTGGAGCAGAGGCGTTGCCTCGTGGCGACCATCGGGGTGGGAGTTCTCTCGCTCGGTAACATGATTGCCGCCATGGTACGGAGCGAGATTTTGTGGAACTCCGCCGTCTCCTTCTGCGAGCAAGTTATGCTTGTTAAGGAGATGGCGGAGCGAGGCCGGGAGAGGTTTAGAACTCTCCCGTAGCGCCAGGCCCGGCAACGGGCCAGGTACCGCAGACGACTCAGGCGCCGGAGGTCGCAGAATGACCTCCGTCCTCCATAAGCGCAGGCCTGGGGGTGGTAGGTGAAGCCATCTGTCACCCTAGTAGAAGCAGGCCGGGGTGGTGGCGAGACGCGCTTCGAAAGGCGCGCCCCCTTTCGGGCGCACAAAGGGGACATTGGGACTAATCCCACCCACACGCCCACCACTGTAACTCCTGTACACCAGGATCCACAGCAGTGACCCACGAACACACCGAGTTATGACACTCGGGAAGTCCCAGGAAGAAATTAAACTGTCTTGGAACCCGCAACGAAATTAATCAGAAGAAAATTGGAGGAGTTGGAAATACAGTAAATCCACTTCCCTCCTTAGCAAAGCGGGAGACAAAATGAAGTAAAATAGGCATACACCCTTTTAAACAGGGAAGCACCACGGCCACAAAATATTACGGGTCCTACATGAGCTATATTTGATTTCTATAATATGTATGGCAGAATCGCCTAAACGCACGGAAATTCACCCTAGTTGACACAAGATCCCTATAGTATACCGCCCCAGATGTCACCTGCAAGCTATTCAGCATTATATTACGTTCATTATACCAAAGACTACATTCCCAGAGGATATGATGAGCAGACTGTTCATAATGAGAGTTAGGTGTTGAGCATTGACACAATGGTGACTCGACTAATTTAAATGAATACAACTTGCTCTTAAAGTTACCATGACCCGTAAGAAATTGAGCGACACAGTGATCCACCTCAAGCCATGTCCTCGACAACCGTTCGCGAACAGATGGAAAAAATTGGTAAAGATGGCGCCCCTTGGATGATTCGTCCCAGCGTTGCTGCCATTCGTCTATGAGGTCATTATAGACATCGGACTGCTGTTGAAGCAATCTTGTAATTTTACCGCGATCCCGCGCGCCCAAGAAATCGCATTCCATGTTTTGTCTTGAATAGTACATGGCTGCACGTCTCTGCACCTCGAGATCGACCGGAAGGACACCTGCCAACACCGGCAAAGCCTCAGTGCTAACCGTCCTATATGCCTTGCACAAAAATATCAGTGCAAGTCGTTGGCCTTGTAACAGTTTGCGACGGACAGCGCCTACGGTCGCCCTATCGGCCCATACAGGTGCACCATAGCACATAGAACCTAAATAAGTAGCTCCGTATATGATCTTTAATGTATTAAATGATAGACCCCATGTCGCAGTTGATATCCTTGTCAATGCACAGAAACTCTTTTTAGACTTTTCATTAACTATTTTAATATGTTCGATAAATGAAAAGTTTCTTTCTAAAACTAATCCTAGATAACACACTGTGGTTTTATTTTTTACAGTAACATTGTCAAATCTAATGCTCGGCGGTGATTTGAGGTTACCTTTTAAAAGTAACTGGAAGGTTTTGTTGGGTGCAAAAGTTAAGCGATTACGTTCACCCCATTGAGATATCAAGTTCAAACATCTATTGGCTAATCTCTCAAGCCCCGCCCTAGTATCAGATTCCACCAGTAATAAGCCGTCATCAGCATACTCGTTCAGAGTACATCCGGATGGTATTGGTATCGTAAGAAAATCGTCGAAGCCGATATTCCACAAGTATGGACCTAGCACCGATCCCTGAGGACATCCCATTGTAAGCGCCTTCGACACAGAATGATGACCAAGTCTTAGTTTAGTTGTACCTTGTGAAAAGTACGAAGAGATAAGGGAATAAATATTTTTAAAACACCCCCGTGATTTTAATTTCAGCAACAGCATGGGCCACCATGCGTTGTCGAAGGCGCCAGATATATCTAGGAAAATAGCCAGCACGTATTGAAATTTTGACCCTGTGACAAACTTTCTAACCGATATAACAGCGTCAGTTGTCGATTTACCCAACGTAAATCCAAATTGTCTATCATGAAATTTGACTCCACCTGGCAGAAGCCGGGGCACTACAAGACGTTCTAAAAGCTTTCCTAACGATGGTAACAATGTGATTGGTCGGTAGGATTTAGGATCATCCGGTGGCTTGTCGCCACTTTTTGGTATTATACGAATATTACCGCACCGCCATATACGAGGAAATATTCCTTCAGCAATGCAACGTTTAAAGACAGTGAAAATCGTGTCACCCGAAAGTTTACAAGCTTCTTTTATCATTTTGTTAGATATTTTATCATCACCCGAAGCCTTGTTTAGCGGCAAGGATCTAATGATACCGAGAAATTCGTCTGAAGATGGTAAATCAGACATTGGAGACAGTGGTGGTTCGATGGCCCACTGCCTGATCTGTCGGTGATGATCAGTGTCGTTTTCCGGTCGATCGTCAGGTACGAGTGAGTCTAAAAGATATTCTGCTGTTTGTTCTACTCCTGTGGTATATCTGTTATTAATTTTGATGTTCTGTATGTATGCGTGGTCGATTGATCTATTTGCCTTAAATTCGTGATACAAAGGTGACCACGGGCCCTCTCTATCGAGTTTATCAACAAGTTTCTGAATTAAGTTTCCCTTGGATTCCCAAAGGGGACATAGGGGTTCCCACACAGGGAGGATCATTTACGCCCGTAGATGGCCGAGGTACCTCGGGGTATCAGGGTTTTCCTGCCTAGGGTACACCCGATTCCCCGGCAACTGGTACCCGAGGCGGCGTGCGGTTTTTCTCTCCGCACAGGAAAAACAAAAAAGAAAAAAAGGTGTTACAATATTTGTGTTCCGCATTTTAAATGAAATAGATTTTGTTTTCTCGGTATTTAAGGTCAATAGATTTTTACGAAGTCAATATGATATATCATTAAAGCCATTT